CCTTTAACTCATTACTACGAAACCTAGATCTGCACCACATAGCCGCCTTATTCATTATGAAACCCTAGATCTGGCACCATCGCCGCCAACGCCATAGCCACCGCCTCCGATAACCATCCCCACATAACCGGCCACCACCATGTTCATTCGACTCACATACTTGGACTCATCTCTTCCCAAAAACGATGCCGACTCCGCTACCCAGATCGTCGCCGCCTTCAGATCCACCGCCATAATAGATTCACCGCCACTCCGGTACCCACTCCGTCATCTCCTCCGCCGCCTCCGGCAGATCCGCATCCACCCCCTGTTGCATCTCCGGCACAATATTCGTGTCTCAACAAAAAAAAAAAAAAAAAAAAAGAGAATAGCTATATAGAGATCGGCCGAGAAAGGGAGGGAGAGAGAGAGAGAGAGAGAGAGAGAGAGAGAGAGAGAGAGAGAGAGAGAGAGAGAGAGAGAGAGAGAGAGAGAGAGAGAGAGAGAGAGATCGACAGAGGAGGGGCAGAGAAAACGAAAGAGAAAAAGAAAGAGAGAAGAAGAAAAAGAAATAAATCTGCTACAAGAAAAGAAACGTAATATGTAGGTCAAAATATTTAAGGTATAAGGGCAATATAGGGATAAAAAAAAAAATTAGGGATGTATATCCTATATTGTTTCAAATTAAGGATTTAATTAAAAGATTGGATTTTGACTTGTTATTTAGTCCAAATTAGGTTTGCTTTGAGGGACTTATAGCATATTATTCGAAATAAGATAATTTCCCAATTATGATTTACTTATCTATTAGCGACTTAACTCTGATATAAAATAAGGAAACAAACTTCTGATCTTTTAATAGATAATATACCATATGTAAAAATTAGATTCCTTAATTTCTTTTTATGAAGAGGAAAGTTTCCATAATTCAAATATACAGCTGTATATGTAGTACTTTTATCAAGTGATTGTAGTTTCCTTTTGTTTCACTCAATATCTGCCACGTCATTATTTTACTTCCAATGTCTGAAATTTCCTTATTAAAAAAATCCAAAGTTATGGAAATTTCTATTCCTAAAACATAACTCAGAAGTCTATAAATACAACACTAGCAAAACGTTATCCCTTACTCGTATACATTGAAAGACAATTTGCAATAAGAATTAATTCAAAGTTTTTGCATGATGGAATCATCAAGATCAGAAGTATTTCAGATGGAGCACCAACCTTTCGGAAAATTGATCCGAGTTTTGGCGATTGACGGTGGTGGAGTTAGAGGGATAATCCCCGGAGTTATCCTCGAATTTCTCGAGTCACAACTTCAGGTATGTGTATATATTAATTAGCTCTTACTTTTCGATTCGTGTACTGATTTTTTTTTTCTTTATCAATATTTGATGCATGCATGTATTTATTTCAGAAATTGGATGGTGAAGATGCTCGACTTGCAGATTACTTTGACGTAATCGCAGGCACAAGCACAGGAGGTCTCATCACTGTAATGCTTACTGTTGGTATAATTAATAACAATCTGCGTAAACGAAAATACTTACTTGTTTGTCCAAAAGAGGAATTGTGAAAACCACAAAGAACGATCGAGGCTTGCTAAAACAATTCCCTTAAGACAATATTTCCGGGCTGTCAACGGTGCACAGTCTCTTCCCGGTAGTCTCCCAAGGTACAACGATCGGTTGTCGAATATTTGCACGAATATTCGACCCACGGCGAACTTGAACAACGAACGGAATTTTGACGAAGAGAAAGAAAAATATGAAGAACTATCGCTTAATTGCCGATTAAATTCAGTACAGAATTGTCCAGATTCTGCCATTGTAGAGATCCATTCACAGAGGGATGCAATGGTTGGGAGAAGAAGCAGAGAGATGTGTCTGTTCTTTTTACCGAGTTTAAAAAAATGTAAGAAAATTAATTGGTCATGGGCCAATTAATTAATTTGGTTTGGGCCAAGTATTATTTGAATTTTGGTTCAAATAATTTGACTAACTACTAAATGTCCCCAAAAGTAATATTTGTGGACGTCTAAACCCAAACTAGTCCTATCACTCGATCACATCGAGCGCACATCTTTTGAACTTTAACCATTTAATCAAGACAATTTTCATTCACTTTACTTCATGATTTTGGTCAAGTAAAAAAATGATTTAATCTTTACATAATTAAATTAATATTACTCAATATTAATTATTGGAAATCATGAAAATTCCAACAATCCCCCACATGAATAAAATTGTTCTTCCAATCTTATCGCATAAGATCTATTTGTCAAAATTCCTTAGTGAATAGTACATCATCGGGATAGGTGAAATGTTTCATCTTGAACCTTCCCTAGTTAAAGCTTATCGGATTTACTTAGCCAATCAGTGAATTATTTCATCTTGAACCGTCGGCTGTTTGTGTAAACCAAGACAATAAACTTAACACCATACTAAACGAACTTGTTCAAGTTCTCGGTTGTGTTCGTTTTGGCCCTGAACATCCTCGGGTTCTGCGAGTGCTTTAGAGAATTCCAGCCTTTAAGAATTCTCAACGAGCCGACCCAGCTCACACTAACATAGGTGACCGCATCTATAAAGAGTATCCTACTATACCCCACTTGTAAATTACAAGATATAGACGTCATTAAAAGCAATAGCTTAACCTTTTTGAACGTCGTAGGTTGCACTTATTGCATCATAGGAATAAGGTGGAGTTAAAACTCCTAAGTGCTTCATTTTAAGTTACACAAAACTGGTTGTCCTATTGAACTTGGTCCGTGGGATCTCCAGTCGCCAAGTTAGGTTTCCGTATAAGGTAACTTAGTTATTTAGGCTTTAAACCTATTCCCCTCGATGCACATTTAACTCTCTCGCTAGATAAACCTTTATTAAATGGATCCGCTAGGTTATCTTAGGACTTCTCAAAATCAATGGAAATTTATTCCATTAGAGAGTAAATGTATCACGTTATATGTCTACAACGAATATGTCGAGACTTACTATAGTAAAGTATGAGAGCAATTTGTTAATTGATTATTTTTAAATCAAATATTTATATTGCTTCGCTATATCCCCAAGGACATATACAAACATATTTAACTTGTAGTCAAATGCCCCACATTTTGAGATATTTATAGCTCAATTATATATATTTCCATAACTCATAAGGAATGTTCATCTTGTGTGAAACTCTATTTAATATGTCATTAGACACACAAGGAGTTTCCCCCACAAGTTGTTCGATAAACTCAAGTTTAATCGTGTCTTTAAATCATGATTTTTTCATTTGACTACCCCATTCGATGTGAATATGGTGCAATAACTTTTTCCATGCACACAAATAAGTTACTCATATTATCCGCTCCATCGGATTTAAGAAGCTATCTTCTTATTTTGTATTTCACAAATACGCATTTGCTACCTTTTTATTAAACTCAAAATTTTAAGAACTTTAATTTTTATTGAGAAAATACTCACAATATGATTGGACAGAATGATATTGCACCGTTTAAATCAAGAACTAACTTACAAAAGTTTTGAAAATAGAGAAATCAAGCACCCCTCATGAGTGCTTATTTGAAGTATAAATAAATATTAATTATGCCCAAATTCAACCAACTCACTGAATTGAAAACAATATTGTTTCAAAAGAAAGAATAAAATATTTATATCATTTAATAATTTTAAATTTCATACAGACTTGTAAAACATAGGGCAATTTTAAAAAAAAAATATACTAGTCAAAAACTTGTATAATAAAACCTTGTTTTACACACGACATTTTCCAACATAATAAGTTCTTACAACTCTTAAATAAACCATATAAACTAAAAATTATTAATATAAATTTAGTAGTTTAGTTCTTGCCGATAACAGCTACGTTCACCTTAAAGAGACCGTCACATAGGTACCCTTTTCCAACGTAGAACCCTCCTTTGGTTAGCATAAATTTTTCCGACTTAAAAGCCAACTTGAAACATTTCTTGGTTATGATAGAACCACTGATTAAGTTCTTCCTAATATCCGGAACGTGTAGCACATCGTTCAAGGTAGCTTCCTTTCCGGAAGTGAATTTTAAGATCACTTGTCCTTGTCCTTCAACCACCGAATAAGCGTCATTTCCCATGAAGAGCTTTTAATCGCATTCTAACTTCTTGTAAGAAGAGAACATGCTCTTATCATAAGATATGACGAGTAGCCCCCGTGTATACCCACCAACCTTTATGATCGCTCATAACGTATGCTTCAGTTACAAGGACAATAATCTTGAACTTGTTCGATATTTCGGTCGCACCGACGGTGGCATCATTGATTGAAGCCATTTGCACGAATTTATTCAAACAACGGTTAGAATTAAAAATTCCTTGCCTTGGAATTTATTTAAAACTTCCTCTAAACTAAATAGGCAAATACGGATATTTAGAATATTCAAGATGATGTATACAGAAGACTTTAAAAACTTGTTTTCACTTTGCTACACTATTTGCAAACATGAAAAGACACTTGCAATATAATAATTTCAAAACATTAGCAGTCTAAATGTTTTGGCATAAAAAAATATTTTTCTACCAATTAGCAGAGGATAGAAGATTTCGGCACACACTTTTGCAAATAAACAAATCTTTATAAATCTCTGCAGAAACTTTGAAATCAATGTTTCGTTTCCTTTTCTTCGCAAATCAGTCAAGCATATACAATATATACACGCATATATTGTGAGATAAAACAATCAACGTATTTAAACATGTAATAAAACAAATTTTAAAAAACGTATGAACCGCATCACAAGTTTCGAAAATCAGATTTCAATTCACGCAGAACTCATAAAAACTAAATAATAGATATTGTCTAAAGATTGTTGGTATAATTAATAACAATCTACGTAAACGAAAATACTTACTTGTTTGTCGAAAAGAGGAATTGTGAAAACCACAAAGAATGATCGAGGCTTGCTAAAGCAATTCCCTTCAGACAATATTTCCGGGCTGTCAACGGTGCACAGTCTCTTCCCGGTAGTCTCCCAAGGTACAACGATCGGTTGTCGAATATTTGCACGAATATTCGACCCACGGCGAACTTGAACAACGAACGGAATTTTGACGAAGAGAAAGAAAAATATGAATAACTATCTCTTAATTGCCGATTAAATTCAGTACATAATTGGCCAGATTCTGCCTTTATTTATAGGTTGTAGAGATCCATTCACAGAGGGATGCAATGGTTGGGAGAAGAAGCAGAGAGATGTGTCTGTTCTTTTTACCGGGTTCAAAAAAATGTAAGAAAATTAATTGGTCATGGGCCAATTAATTAATTTGGTTTGGGCCAAGTATTATTTGAATTTTGGTTCAAATAATTTGACTAACTACTAAATGTCCCCAAAGGTAATATTTAGTAAATAAATGAATTAATCTTTACATAATTAAATTAATATTACTCAATATTAATTATTGGAAATCATGAAAATTCCAACACTTACCGCTCCGAATGAAAAGAATCTCTAGGAACTGGTTCAGAACAAGTTCATAAGTATGACGCCAAGAAAGCATCAAAGTGGAGTACTTTGAGATGGTTGATCAAAAATCGTAAATCGAAGCCCTTGTGGGATGTCATTTCTCAAGCTATACAACACATCACTAATTACTACGGTTCCACTTTTATTGAAGCCCTTCACTCTAGTGGAAATTTTCTAAGAATCCAGGTAATTTAATTTTTCTTCCGATGAAGTTTAAATTTAATTTATTTCACATGTAATATCATTCTAAGCAATTATAAATAAATATATATGATTTTTCAGGACGAGACTTTAGTCGGTGTAACGTCGTCTGTGGACGTTGCAACAAAGAAGAATTTGAAAAATCTCGTCAAAGTTGGAGAGGACTTGCTGAAAAAGCCAACTTCAAGACTGGATCTGCGTACCGAAAAATACGTTCCATCTACTGATCAAGGAACAAACGAGGAGGCGCTTATTCGGTTAGCATCAATACTTTCAAAGAGAAACGGCTACGTCAGGATATTGCTAGGAAAAGAGAATCATCCGATTGGAACGATTTTCTCGAACGTTGGGGGATTGATTCATCAACTGACTATTTTTTTAAGCAAAGTTGATATGTCATCCTCTAGTCTCTACTTGAATTAATTTAATTTAGTATTTTTTTTTTCATTTTTTTAATTGAAATTTCTCTAGTTCTGGTTGTATGCACATATATTCATAATTCAATACAAGTTATTTTTATAGTTGTTTGAGGCATTAGTGTTTTGTGTCCATTTTCCTTTTGACTTTGTACATATAAATATATCAATAAAATGAAACATAGAATAAATATGTGGAATGTAAATTTATTTTTATTTTGAAGCAAACAAACCAGGGCATTGCAGTTAAATAAATTAAATTAATAAATTGAGATAATTTGTTTTTTGAATTTTGTTATCAAAATATTATTTAATGAATTATTTATATAATTGATATAAAAAATGTATAAGAAGCGAAATTCGCAGCAAAAATGGATGCCTTAAAACCTAAGAAGCCTCCCACAGCTTTCTTTTACTTTCTGTATGCCTTTTGCTCTTCACTTTTGTTTATTCATCGCTTCAAATTTTACTTTTCTTAATCGAAATTTTTCGTTTGGTTGAATATTTAGCAAGTTACTGTGTTAACTGTTGATACAACATGGATTCGACTGATTCAAACTATGCTCGTATATATTTTTTTGGACAAAAGGTTCCAATCCGTTGTTGGTTAATCGCAATGAGTATATGCTACTATGTTTCGTGACTCATGAGTGTCGTCATATATTACGTTTAGGTTTAGATTTGTGTGATTGTAGATAGTTGATGTACAAAAGTCTGTATAATGCTTTGATTATCTGCAAAAGTCTGTACAATGCTTTTAAAGATACTACGATATACTATAGAAGTCAAATACACGATTCATTAGCAACAAACTTACGAATAAGTAAGCTAGGCTATCCTATCAATTACATAGACATCATATAATAGCAAATGTTAATAGAACATCAAAAGGGAGTACAACGGGAGGGAATCACTATTTTACATAACTTCAGTGGCAGTTCTACAACTGTTATTTTTGCGATTCGACTGATTCAAACTATGCTCGTAATTGAACCTTAGCCATCGACCAAATAAAACCCTAGCCGCCATAACCGTCGACCAAATTAAACCCTAGCCGTCGACCAAATTAAAACCTAGTCACCATCCGCTGTAGGTCTGACCTCCATCACCATAGTCGTCATAACCTCTTGCCTCCATAACCATCCCCTTATTAACGCCCTCCACCGCCATAGTTGCGCCAATGGCCATCGCCCCATCAACAATGGTGAGAAGTGATGGAGAGGGAGAGCGAGAGAAAGAGAAACAAGAGAGGGAACGAAAGAGGCAGAAAGAGAGAAAGAGAAACGAGAGAGGGAAAACGAAAGGAAGAAAACGCGAGAGAGAGAAAACGGAAAGAAAATAAGAAAAATAGGTTTGGATGAAATTGTAGAATTTATGTATTTAAGCTGAAGGCAAATTTGGGATTAAAAAAGAATAAATGATGTAGATCATATTTATTTTTGTAAAAATGATTTAGTTCAGAAAAAAATATTAGGTATTCCATATCTAATTATATTTCCAACTACGGACCTCTAGCATATTAACCCTTAAATGAAACTGCCTAATTCAACATATATTGGACCCGTAACAACAAATTAAAGTCCCAAAA